CCCCCAAAGGAGCTCGCCGCCAGCCAGCACGAGACTGTTGCCACTCCCGTTCTTCTCACAGGCGGTTACGGAGAAGACCTCCTCGAGAAGATCGACCGAGATACAAACATCATCTGCATCGCTGGCGGCACAGGCATCGCCTACGTCCTCCCCGTCCTCCTGCACCTAGCTCGTACCAGATCGCCATCGGATCGCAAAACCGAGCTCATCTGGGCGATGCGACACTCCCGCAACGTAGATTGGGTCAAGGACGAAATGGCTGTTTTGCGCAAGGCCCAGAAGGAGATGAACCTGACAATCTCTCTCTTTGCCACAAGAGACGCTGCTGGCAGCGGCAAAGAGAACCACCAACCGGAAGATGCGGACATTGTCTCATCCTCATCAGACGACGTTTGCCCGTGCGACGAGAAAACAGCTTGTTCGCCGGGGATTACTGTCGACAAAATCGGCGACGGGGCGGACGATGAGAGTCGGCACCCGGATTTGAGCAAGATGGTCGGTACGTTTGTGGAGGGCACCGTCGCAGGTAGGACAGTCGTCTTTGCAAGCGGACCCGGAGGCATCATTACAGACCTGAGAAGCATAGTTGCCAGCTTGAATGTTCCCGGGAAGGTATGGAGGAGGGAGGACAGGTTTGATGTCGAGTTGGTTTGCGATGACAGATTAGAATGGTAGCTTTCATAATATCCGAGTGTCTGATTCCCTGAGCTGACAATGCTGTCCGTCGCCCCAACTTGCGAATCCATTGCCGGAGCCGAGGAGTCATCTGATCAAGAGAACTCGAAAGGGTTACATTGATCAATACTCACAATTACATCTCCAACTGTGCCACTGGCTCTGGCTAGAACTTCCTGGAGGAACGCAGCTCATCCTCACAACAAGCGAAGAAACTGCCGGTAAACAAATGGAACGCTCTCGTACCGACCTGCGCCACTATCATCCAACAAGCTTGCACAAGTCCATCAGCCAGACTATGAAACATTGCTCAAAGCAAGGGCAAACAGCAACACTAGCCACCCACCAAAGTCATCTACCAACGCAGCAACTAAGACGAAGTCTCAGCCCAGCGCCAGACCCCTTCGATTAGATGCCCCATCTGAATCTCGCCAATCGGTGGCGCTCCCGTTTCTAACAAGTGCGGCATTGGCCGCGGCAATTTGAACATATGCCGAGCCAATGGTTTGTCTTCTGTCCGGCCGGGTGATGATTCGCGTCGTCCTGTTGTCCCTTCGAGTCAACTTGCCATCACAGATGAACTATGGACAGAGTCCCCGGCTGTCCAAGATGCGAAGAGCCCCTCGGCAAACCAAGGCCAGTGGCTCGATTTCTTGTTTTGTATTAGTTGCCCGCGTCAACTGGAGATAACATAGCCTCCGTGGCATATTAGCGGATGCCCTGTTGGATCGGACCAATACCGGCCTCACGCCTCCATCCTGGGTCGGGCCGGAGCAACTCTATTCTTACCGGCCAGCGCATAGCACCAACTACATGACGCGACGAACTTCGAGTTGCTGTTCTAGAACGGGAATGGCCATACAAAAAAGCGATAACAAAACCCACCTGAATGCTGTTAAATGCCTCAGCATAGTCGAGCACATAAGAGGACCCCGTTGTCATGTTCCCGTTGACGTCCGTACATCACGGCAGCATGCCTGGATCACATTTCGGGAACCGCAAATACACAAAGCACCGTCCCATATCTGCAATACGCCAAACTGCCCATCATGAGATTCGCCGCTGCCTTTGCCGCCGCTGCCATTGGCGCCGCCCCCGTCGCCGCCCTTCCCACCAAGACGACCAACGACGCCAGCCGGGGGGTCAGAATGTTCGCCACCCTGACGGAGCTCCAGGCCAAGTACGCACGCGGCATCATTGCGCAGGCTAAGAAGGAGCGCCTCGGAGCCCAGGGATGCCGGGCGGGCATCGCCACTGCTCTCGTCGAGGTGAGCCATGTTTCCCGCAGGGGGCTGTCTCTGAGCAAATCTACTAACCTCGGCCGGTCAGTCAACACTCATCATGCATGCAAACTACGCGGTGCCCGACTCCTTGGTCTACGACTATGACCGCCTCGGCTACGACAGGGACTCCGTCGGCCTCTTCCAGCAGCGGGCTTCGATCTACACCGACATCAAGTGTAGCATGAATGCCGCCTGCTCGGCACACCAGTTTTTCACCGAGATGAAGGGGGTTCCCGAGTGGCGGTACATGGATGTCGGCACGCTGTGTCAGGAGGTGCAGCGCTCTGAGAATCCCGAGCAGTACCATGAGTTTATTGACCAGGCTGTCGACATTTGCAAGGAGGGCGGCTTCTAGATAATTCTGCGTACAAGTACATGCCCGGTTGCGATTCACAGAGCAACTCGAGAGCGTTGGTGTCTCTTATTTTCTGGTCTTGAAGGGGCTGTCTCTTTAGGAGGGGAAAATTCATAGAGATTTTGTGTTCGCCTTGTCCGGATAGTCGAATGATTATCAGCATGCATATTTGATGAATACGTATTGCGTAAAAGTCATTCCTCTTGATCGAAAATCCATGTCATCTATCCCCTGGTGCGCGTCTAGAAGAAACTGCCACGACACATGTGCCTCGCAGTGACGGGTAGCCAGCCAACGGGCGGGCTATATCTTTGATTCTATGGGTTGAGAAAGACCATCAGCGGATTTGGCAGCTTTCCGGGCATCACATCGAGTTGGGGGTACTGAAGAACATCTGTACAATTTGGGCCGTATGGCGATTTCGTTTCTTATCACGCACGTCATGCTCTGCAATCACTTTCTGCGTGTCTTTATCACAGGATTTTGTTGGCCCAAACGCACAACACACACACACAACACTCATACGCGTAATCTCGTACGAGTCGCAACTCTCGTACCTTGAGCCCCGTGACAGATGAAGGCTCTAAACTAGCAGTCAATCAATCTTGATAGCTTGGTCAAATGCTTCCACGTAATCCGTAATCTCGATTTTCACCTTCTGTGGCATAAAGCCCGGTGTAAATGCACGTAAGTAAATGTGTAACGTAAACGATTTAGCTGAACGGCGTAGGCTCGCCCGAGGCCGGTTAAATGATTAAGATATCAATAGAAGACACGATAAAATCGATTATAAAGGCGAAATTTGTTGAATTGAAGACTTGGGCATAAGGCCGTCCTCTTATACTAGCAAGTCCACTACAACTAAATTGTTCATCCGATTTTCTCCGAGTTGTGAGCACAAATGCCGCCACACAACATCTATTCCTCATACATCACCTGAGCTCTGCCAGGACGGTGGCAAGGATCAACAAAAGTGTGTTCCAGTCACCAACGTCAAAAAATACAAACAAAAACTGAGCCGGCCACATCTGCACCGGCAGTGCTCAGAGCATGCAACGGCGCCGGCATTGCTAAGCCAGACTGCCGTCAAGAGTTACCATTTGGAACCCTTGTCGGTCCAGTTGGCTTGCGAGTCGCAGAACTCAGCATTTCCAATTTCCATTGCCATTTCCGTGACAGGAACCACAAGGACGGGCCTTGAATAACGTGGCTGTATCCAACGCAGAGTTGTTATTACTTGCGATGAATTCGTGCGTCAAGTGCGAGCAGTTGTGGAAGGTCAATCGGCTCCATCCGTAGGTAGCATTGGCGGTATCCAGTCCAAATCGGCTGTACTCCTGTTTGGGCTCATCAAACGAATCAAGACCATCGTAGTGACCACCGGCGCCGTTGGTAATATACCACGGAGCCTTGGGGTTGTTCAGCTCGTTGGGGTCAATCTTGCCATTAGCCAGGGGCGCAAGACGCTCATAGACGTGCGCGTGGCCAGTGAGGACCAAGTCGACGTTGTACTTGATGAAGAGAGGTTCAAACACGTCCTTGCAAGACCAGCAGATTGTGCCGGTGGCGTTCTTCTTGCTCAGGTACCATGGGCGGTGGCCAGCGACAACCACCCAGGGTGTCTTCTTACGGTCGACGGATGCGAGATCAGCCTCAAGCCAGGTAGTTTGTGCATTCAATGTCGCGTTGACAGGGCTTGCGCCCTCCTTTTCAGTGCCGCCAATCTCATCGGGACCGGTGAAGCCGTGGCCGAGGTCCGTCTCGGTATCGAGCTGGATAAAGTGCACCATGCCGTTGTCCCAGCTATACCAGAAGTTTCCTGTGCCTCCAGATACATCGCTGGGCATTCGAAAATGGTTCTTGAAGCCGGTGAAGTTGGTTTGCCCGGGCGAACAGATGCTAACATCGTACGTGATATTCTTGGCCTTGTCAGTTGTGCCGCCGTTGTCGCAGCTGGCTTCGTGATTGCCGGGCCCGACCATGTATGGTTTTGTCTCGGTCACAGCGGCCATTTCATCGTAAAAGTCGTTGAGGATAGCTTCGTATACCGTGTGGCCGTCCTGAATGGTTGTGTTGGGCAGCACTCCCTGGATCTCCATTTTCAGCCAGTAGTCGGCATAGGCAATGTCACCGGGGTGCCAGACGAAGTCATAACTCGACTTTGTGGAGGCCAGAGAATCAATGGTATTCTTCTCGCCTGGTTTCAGGATGTTGTTCTGGGAAACCGAGCTCCCGGCTGAGGTGGTGAGCCCGAGGCGACCCATCGTCCCAAGATCGACGACAACAGCGACGGAAAAGGCATCGGAGTCGCCTGCGGCGCGGGCCGTCCTGAATGTGTATGGCTCAGTATGATTGCCTTGGGGCAACGGTGACGGAAGATAGTAATAGGTCGTGTCCGGCTTCAACCCACTAATCACAACATGGTTGTTGTAAGTAGTTGAGGTAGGATATGTCAAAGAAACATTGGACGACGCCGTGTGTTCGAGTTTACCCTTTGACAAGCCCCATTTCACCGAGGGTGCTTTGACATGCTCAAAAGTGTTCCAACTAACTGTCATTCCATCTGCGCCGTGATATGCGAGACGAATCTGGCCAGCGGCATCAGGGCCACGAGGGCTCAGCAGAGCAATCGCTCCCTGCAGTGAAGCAGCCAATACAAAGCCGGACCTCATAATGAGTCGTGATTCTTAATACCGAAACTAAGATTGGTTACCAAAGCACCATTGATGGGCGACCCTGCATCTTTATGTAAAGCGACCGTTTATTCCCGCAATTGCTCCGCCTTGCTCAGTTCGGCGGCAGCGTTATACTTCTAATCCTGTTGCGAACCTTCTTGCAGGACTGATATCATGAATCGGTCGCTGATTTGATATTAGCTCCATTTGGTTCTCCTACACGTGTGCGCAAGGTCGTTTTCTTATTTGGCCGGTCCTAAAATTGGAACCTTGCCCCTGTAAGCAAGCGTGCCGAGTTCCCGAGTCGTGCAGAGAGACTGGGTGATGGATGGGGCCATGAAGATTTGGGGACAGAAGCAATAGACTCACATGTTGCCCAATGAGCATTGTCTTTAATTTTTTCGTTATTGAAACTTTCGGTGTTAAATTTGGCTTTGTGTACAAATAGTAAGCACTCAACTTCACCTTGCTGCAAGCCACCAACCCTGCGCAATTTAAACTAATCCGTTGCCGCGAACACTCGGGCAGCCGGGCTGTCACCCATCTGTACAAACTCCTCGCCCATAAATGAATTCAGCCCATCCCCGAACGGCTGCAAATCAGTCCATAGTGCGTTCCAGTCTATCGATTTCTCGGCCTTTTGAGCCTCCATCTCTGATAGCGCCTGTCCAAGTTGCACAATGTATGCAGGCGTCTCCAAGCTACCGCCTCGTTGAGCCACCGCCGTCTTTCGGGCCCCCCAAGCTTTGAGCGTGAACTGCGCTTGCATAAGTTGCTGTCTTTGGCTCATGTCAAATAACTCGGGGTAATGCCCATGAAGCCTTTCCACAGCCCGCCACCCACGGTCAGAGAGGGATCCCATGGGGCGCCGGTACAGTTGGCTGGTCAAAGAGGCGAGCATATCGGCGTAGAATTGCAGCCTCATATACCATTCGAACCCGACAGTTGCCATTTTGTCGTGCGCATCACATTGGTGTTCCATGCTCAACATAATCATCTTGAACAGGTTGTCTTTCCAGTTAAAAATTTCGATTCCCCATTCTTCTTGGTCCTTTATTGGGCTGAGAACATCGTCAAGTTTCTCCAGAATGGTTGTCTTCAAAATGGTCGCCGCCACGTGGACTTTCCCAGCCCCGTCGCCAATATACTTCGCGGTGTAGCTCTCTAGTGCTCGCTTTAGTTCTTCAGATTGTTCCCGAAATTTTCCATACACAGCTCGGTCGGTGTTTTCATCGTTTGTCAAGCTCATCCCCAGTAAGATTGCTTCGTTAGTAGGCGTGTCTATATGGTTATCACAGTCAATCTTGTATGCGTAAATCAATCGCGCAATGAGGACATATGCCATTTCAGTCGGCCCCTCGCGAGGAACTATTGGCGAGTCACTGCTCGGGCTCATGTCAACGTCGTTTATATTCAACGGCGGCTTTGTATCCCATTGCATGGGAAGCATAGCGGCACTGAGTCCAGACAGGAGAGCATTCTTAGCATCCTGAATAATGATCTGACACCATATTCTGCGACGCATTTCGGTTTCGAATGGACCCAGTCCAAGGCTTTCTCCGTCGCGGTGATAGCCCATGGAATACGCCATCCTTACTACAATACCGCTGGTGACCCAGGAAGCGTGTCTGTGAGTTTTGTCCTCGAGGGTGAGCTGATTTGAACCTTAGTGCTTGTATGCAGGTCATTGACACGTTAGGGACTTACCAAATACAGTATCAATGTTTGAAGGCTGATCATTGTGTAATTCTCCCTATGATTGTACTTCATCAGTGCCCTTTTGATGCTGCTACCATACTTTTTCAGTATGGTATCGCGGCTGTATCCTAGCAATTCAAAGCACTCTTGGTCTGACATGGATTTCGCAGCCACCGCGTATATCGAATAGAGAAGCGCTTGGTACTCAATGGGGACCAAGTGCATCCCCACCGCCGCTCTCATGACATACGGTTCGAGAGTTGGAACATGGACAATCTTTGTAAGAGGATTAACTCTTTCAAGGAAGTTCCCCCAAAGATTTATGGCTTCAACGGGACCGGGCTGACTGTCTGGTGAGCTGGACACTGAGGTTTCAAACTCTGTCACCGGGAGTGTCTTGTCCGGCAGTTCATAGATGCTCTCTATCGCCCCTTCATCCGCAGAATCATTCGATTTGATGCTATTCTGAATTGCAACCAACTGTTCCACGGTAAGAAGGGTGAATCGGCCAAAGGGTTGCAAGTTGAGGACAATGGGTCATCTTTACCTCCTCGTGCATTACAACGGTGCTGAAACTGTCAGTGAATCTGACACTGCCATCAATCCTTGTTGTGATGTACGATGCGTTCAGTTCCTGTGCCGACGAGCTGGGTTCAAAAGAGGCGCCGGGCGGACCGTCTGGCACATGGTTGCTCGAACTCGGTTTCTGCGGTCTGTCGTCGACGACTGGCGCATACCCCTTGAGCAAGGCTTCACATCGCTCCACTCGCTCAAGAAGATCCTGCTCCGTCGCGCGTCTCTTCCGCGCCGGCGCCGGCGTACCGGGTGTGCAGAGAACTTCTGCCTAGGCAGAGCATCAGCCAGACGTATGCGGTCGCTTGACGAACTCAGACGCACCTTGACGCAGTTGGAACATGGACTGCAACGATCGCATTTTACCTTGCGCTTTTGACACTGAACGCAGGATAGTAGCCGAGGCTGTTTCAAGGCCTGGATCAAGTTGCCCAGTTCGTCTGCTGATGCCTGCGTATCCATTAATACCGAGCTTCGTGCCAGTTGAATAGGCTTCACGGCTTTCGCCGATTTGGTGATTCGAGAAATGCCAATCAGACGCTATATCTCAATACCCTCATTAGAGCTCGCTCTTGTGGTTATACATTGATGCAGATTCGGTTTCAAGCTCCAAGAGACGAAAGATGTGATGATTACCAACCTGAGGTTGCAAAAGTCGAGCCACTTCAGTTCATCCGCACAGTGTGAAGTTCACAGTGTTTTTGAACAAACATGGCGATGACTGTTTCACACCTTGGCCAATGTTCAAGCTTCACCATCGCATCTGCGGCTTACCACATCACACTAAGGGGGTGTTTTTCCAACATGAATATCCTTTTCTAACTAAAAGCAGAAAAAAAAAACCGGTTTTGGGCATTGCATACCCGTTCGTGTGTTAGGCTCCCAGCCGTCTCGATTTTCGAGCCATATTCCTCCGAGCGACTCCAGAAACTCCAACCCGCGACCAATTCCGCACACTCCTCACTGCTCAGATCTCGACTTCATCCACATCATAAAGCAATTGTCTCTCCGTATTGGCCAAAAAATTGTACCCAACCACTCTGGAAACCCAGAAATATGCCCAAATAGCAGTTTCTTTTAACCATAACCCCCATTCGCTAGACCTTTTTCGAACCTCTGAATTTTTTGTCGCCTGCATCGTAATTTCGTTGACTCGAGGACGCCGAACCCTGTCGAATGCTGCGAATGCATCCTCGAGAGACCTGCCAGGGTCCTCTAATAGCCTTGCGATCATGAATGCATCTTCTGCGGCCATGGAGACACCCTGACCAGCATGGGGGGCCATGGCATGAGCAGCGTCTCCCAAAAGGAGACACCGACCTTTGTACCATCTCCCTCCCGAGGCCACCTTGTATACGGGATAGAATCTCACGACCGAGGTTTTCTGCACCATGGCTCTCATAATGTTTCCCCACTCTCCTCTGGCGTCGCTTATCAGATCCAACAGGTCATTCTTGAAACGGGCGATCTCTTCTTCACGCTTGACTTCCCACCCGTCCCTTGTGTCTCCCGTTTTGGGCAGAGGAACCTCTTTGGAGAAACCCCGGAGCGCTTCGTCGTCTTTTGCAGAGCAAGACGTGGTAAGAAAGACGCCTTGCGTTGTGAGTCTAGCGTTGATGCCCTTGAGCTCGTCTACCGAGCCTTCTGGAAGTGCAGATGTCGGAAGGAGCGCAAACAAACCGGAGAACCCAGTATATTCGGTGGCATGTTGGGGATCGACGTATAGTTTTCGAACAGCGGAGTGGATTCCATCGCATCCGAGTAAGAGGTCGCTAGTGTCTGTGGTTCCATCCGAGAATGTGACCTTGACCTCGTGCTCGTTCTCCTCAATCTCAAATCTTTTTTCCGTAGTGGATTGGGATCTTCCCCTTTTCTGCAGCTTTGAGCAGGACTTCAAGAAGATCAATGCGCTTGATACGGAGGTAGCCAATTCCCCCGTTTTGCTCACGAACTCTGCCGACAATGTCCTGTGTCGTGATGATATCACCTGTGAGAGACCGTAGATTCAACATTGAATGGCTGCTGCCGCGTGATAGAAGATCGTCGTATACACCAAGTCTGTGGAATAAGCGTAGGCCGTTGGGGAACAACCCGACAGCTCCCCCGAGAGTGGTGGGCTCTGGACGTATTTCGTACACGGTCGAGGTGACATCTGTGATTTGTTGTAACCGCAAAGCAGCGGATATACCAGCTGGTCCACCTCCAATAATGATTGCCTAGCTCTTGTCAATGCCCGTTTTTGGTACGCAGATAGAGGGAGAACACGCATACTTTTCTCATTTTGCGTTGTAGTTGGTGGAGTGTTTTGCTGTTCTTCAGAAAACTCATTGGTGTTGATAACCATTTCAATCGAGGGTCAATCGTCTTTAAATACTCTCTCTCATTTGGCCATTCGGGAAAACGCCGCCAGTCACGGTCAGCCATGGTGGTCAATTATTGAGGGCTACTACGGCCTCCTCAGTTCCCCGCGGCAGATGTTTCCTGATAAAGTTAGCAGTCCGCGGCAAAACAGAGTAGCCAAATAAGCGGCGCTAACGGTAAAAGGCATGCCACGCCGCGGCATCTCTCCGCGGCCCCTCTCCCACTGACCTTGCTCGCCCATTTACCACAAGTAACAACCAAGCCGCATCATCATTACACGAAGTCGGGCATCAAAGACGCGAAATGATGCATCGGTGGGGCCGGTCGCCCCTTTCGTGTCGGCCGTGTCGGGATAAGAAGCGCCGTTGCGACAGGCAGCGACCATGCTCAAGCTGTACGTTACGAAACATTGATTGCCAGTATGCCTGCGATGATCAAGCTCGCCCGACACTGGGACAGCAGCCACAGGGGGCATGCTCTCGTGTTACTTATTCAAACTCTGCAACAAATCATACAGACGTCAAGTATGGCAATTTTCTTCCACCAGTCCGCTTGAGGGGGTCATAGAAATCTGTTAACCCTCTGGCTTTTCTAGGCATTCTGATGATGTTTTGCGCCGCTTGCAGAGGTTGGAGGCGGCAGTTTTCAACCAGCCTCGTCAGTCACTAGAGCCGCCACAAGTGGATAAATCGATTCCAAGAGTTCCCTCAATAAGTGAGGTGGCGATGCTCCTATTCCTTTGCCTTGGAACAACTCTGATTCCATCTTTTAGGATTCACCGCATTCGGAATCCATCTGATGATCCCAAAGCCAGACGAAGCCGAGGAACAAAGGGTCTACATGGCAAATTTGGCCAACAAGTTACCTCCTCAAGCTCAAGCGAGGCTCTTACTCGAACACTTTGCGAAAACATCCCATCCGAACAGTTGTATTTTACATATCCCATCATGTCGTACCTTGCTGGAGCAAACTTATGAGAGCATATGCACGGGAGGGATGCCTCCAATTGAAAATTTACTGCTGCTGTTCGGCATATTTGCAGCAGCAGCGTTTCTTTGGTCTTTGGAACTTCTTCAGAACCTCCAAGCGACACGTGCAGAAGCAAAAGCTGCTTTTATTGAATACCTTCGGGTAGGCGTCTCTATTATTGATAACACCGTGCGACCAATCACCCCGTCCACAAACGCCCTGGCAGCCATGTGCAACCTACATAACGTGACTACCCATGCTCGGGGACTATCGGACATCGATGTGGCTTTGCGCATGAAGTGTTACGGGATGGCCCGCACCTTGCAGATCGATCGTCTTGATACGGCAAAGAGTCGAGAAGAACGCAGGCAAAAAGGGTGCAACATGATTGAGGTGGAAGTCCAGAGAAGAATTTGGTGGAATTTAGTGGGCAGCGATTGGTACATGATATCTAACTCTTTTACTACGAAAGACACTAATTCCTCTTTCAGGCTAAACTCGTTTTCAGGCGGGCCAAACGACGGCGCGTACTTTCTCCAACCCAAACACATGAATGTCCGGCTTCCGGCAAACGTGGACGATAAAGATGTTACGGCGGACATGGTGGAGAAGGATATTCCCCTTACCCAACCTTCGGATATGAGTGGATTCATTCATCGTGTTAAGATATCTCAAATATGCCGAGAGGTTGTTGACGCTCTGCCGTCACAATTTCATGACGCTGACGGGACAGGCTACAGCACTATTCTACAAATGGACAAGAAGTTCCGTGCCTTTCTGGACGGGCTGCCGGTTTACTTTCGGCTAGACCCAGAAAGTATGGAACGGTCCAAAGATATTTGTAGAGAGCGCCCAATCATTGCACTGCAGCGAGTTGGCGTCAACTTCAGCATAGGCATACGACTGTGTCGTCTTCATAGACCGTACCATCTAGAAGGCCTCACAAACTCAACATATGCATACTCCCACACGGCTTGCATCCAGGAAGCGCAGAAAGTTCTTGATCTGCGTCGTGCTATGGATGAATGTGGCTCTCCGCTGGGCATGAATCCGGCTCGTTCCTGGATTGTAATGCAGCACGTTTCCATCGCGGCACTCATTCTCGCAACAGATGTGTCTTTCAACCCGCTGGCACGGGATGCAGAGCAAAGAAAAGCTAAAGTACTTGCTACTTGCGAGCTTCTGGAAAAGTCAATAGAAGATTCCGAGTCCGTCGTGGAGGGCGTTCAGCGCAATGTGCAGGTTCTCATATCGACGCTGCAGAAACAACGGGCTCAGAGCACAAGTAGACATGAAGCAGCTGCATCTCCGTATCCAGCGCCCGGTATGGAGCAATTGAGGGACGCCGCCATGGCGAATGCTGATGATAATACGGCAGCGAATCTTGTAGGTAGCACAGACAGGAATAACGGCTTTCTAGATGAATTGAGCGAGGATCGGACTGATTGGGATCAGCTCTGGGAGGACTTTATTTCAATAGCGCCGGAAATGGACGTGGCGCATTGGGATCTTTTGTTTGAGGATGTGCAGCCGGCATAGTAAGCCAGTCGCTTGGGGTTTATTAACAAGCGTTGCAAGTATCGCAAGACACGCACAGAAGAAACATTTCGCATGTTGTGTTTACTCTTATGTATACCAGGTGGCAATCAATATAGCCGACCCTTCTCTGTCCGCTTCCAATCCATGAAATAAAGGGGGGAAGATGAACTTTGTAGCCAACATTTTTACAGCAAGCTCAATAGGCTTTTGAGGGCACACCGTGCCTAGATAGCGCCGACATCAAGACGATTCGCTTTTCTTCAGAAAAACAATGACGTTCAATGTTCCTATCGCAAGAGCCGTGCACCGCGGCTCCCGCATTTCTTGCATCTACAATGTGAAGGAGAAACCGGCACTGGATCTTGCTCTCCACAAAGATGGCAATAACCCATAAGCGGGCTTTCTATAAATGAATTCAATAGCTCCTTGGCGAACTGAGGCACATTTTCAGTCACTTCATCCAAAACCTGCTTAGCGGCAGCGTCAAAGTCTGCCGCTGCCATCAGAGATCTAACATGCCAAACTCGAAACTCTCGAAGATGGTTGCTTGGCGTTCTAAGCAGGGAGTATATCTCGGGTATTGATCGCAGAAATTTGCAGAGACTCTCCTCTTGCTGGACCGCTTCCATGAACTCACATGTGGCGAACGTCTGAAGCCCGTCAATCATGTATTTTTTTGAAAGCTCAAACATTCTGACATGAAACGTAATGGGGGAAGTATTGTCGCACAATTCATCCGAGCTGGAGTGTGACGTTGGCGAATACTTGCCGGTGTACATGTACTCCACCATTTGTCGAACTATGTCGATTGAACTATCTTTGAACTCGTATACTCCAGTTTCTTGCTCCTGATTTTCTTGTGAGAAGAGCAACGACGAGCTTAGCCGGACCTGACGAACCTTGAATGGACCATTGCATGCTTTGTCAATAACGGGAGATTGGGGGCACACGATGATCTTGTGGACGGGTATTTTCACATCTCGGCAGACGAGTAGGAGATCCGAGAACTTTCCCTCTTTGCGAGCCCTAAAGACCGCTTTAGTAACGAGTGTACTTCTCCAGATCGATAAACCTACTTGGAAATCGCACGCAAAGTCTTGTAAATCGGATCCTCCTCAACCATGTTGGAATTGAACTGCGTACGCTCGCAGGTTATGGGGTGAAAAACTGTTCAACGTCAATGTTTGGGCGAGGATTGCAACGAAAACTTGCGACTGGTGGTGGATTTTATTGTCTTTACTGCCAGACTTGACCGTGCAAACGCGCTTGGGCCTCACAATTTGAACATTCAGAGCAAGGCCACGTGCCGTGCTTCATGCCCCCCGAGCAATGCAAACAGTCTAGTAGCCTGACTAGAAAAACTCCCTTCTGTGCCCGCAAACTGAACTGCATGTCAGAACAGGGGTAGCCTTTGGAACAGAGATAATTCATCAAGATTCATCAGGACGAATTCCGGAGGGGGTAAGCTTGTGACCTCTAGAGGCTGCGTAGCTGACACTGACATTCATGTGTGAAATAAACTGCAAGACCAAAACTGTCCATCATCTCTGGTGACGCCTGGCTAATTGGATTCATAACTATCGTGATACGTAAAGAGAAATAACGACCTGCACTACCGGAGGTTCCTCCACTTCTGGTAATGCAGCTGACAGGTGCCACGGTCGAACTTTCTCTCACCTCTTTGTTAAGACCAACATGCTTCACTGGAGATGATCTCGAATCATATATTCATTAACCAAAACAATAGTCAGTTCTCACTACAATGCAAATACAAAAAATGAATTCAAGAGGTTTCAAGAAGTAATTGTCTCTGGCCAAGACAATAGAGATTGAAATTTTGCAAGGCGACTTTGCCACCTCGGTGTATCTATTGACCCGGCCAAAAAAAAAAAAAAAAAAAAAAAAAAAGAGAAAGAAGGAATACTACCTTGCCTACAGGACACAACTTGTGGATGAAAAGATCAGGTGTCAGAGTGATTATCGGCTAGACAAGTAGGCCATGGAGCAAAAGATACAGCAATAAGGGCCCTTGGCCGAATATCCCCGATATCCAGATTTTAAGCATGCACATGGTGGCTCTCTCTCTCTCTATGGCTTCTAACATTAGGCTAGAATAGGTCCGGCCACACAAGAAGCGGAAATTAGATGACCACCACGGCGTTGTGTTCAGGTGAGCGCCTCTTTTATCGGCGGCGAACGACTTAGCCATGAAACACACAAAAGGCGTCAAATTCAATGTCAAAATGAGTGAACAAGTTCATATTACCGCCTCGTCATGTTGAATGAGGCTGCTCGACGGTTTCCCCATTGTGCAGTTAGTGCTCTCCTTCTTCTGCTTCCTCTGTGCCCTCTTTTCTTCTACTACTTCTTGTAGTCTCATATTCTTGAAATCTTCAAGCTCAGCAGCAGTTCGTATTGGTGTAATCGCTGGATCGTAAAGAGACACTGCCTGGCAAATACCGCCAAACTCCGACTCCATCCCACCCACGTCCTCGACAAACTGATTCAACCTGTCAAGGCTGGGCAGACTGATCCAACCTATAAAGCCCTCTCGTCGCTTTCTATGGCCACTGCCAGCAGCTCTTGGGTCGTATTGTGCAAATGTCTCGAAGAGCTTGTGTGCGGAAATATCATTCCGCGAGCGTTCACCTCTGCTGCCTATGTCACAGCGACCGTGGCTAACCGTACCAGCGTGCTCGGTATTGACTTTGGATCCATGTGCTCCAAGCTTACTCTGGCTACGGCTTACGGCGAGGATGGGGTCCGCGTGCTTCGTGTCATGGCAAATGTTCCCAACGAGCATCCAGAGAGGCGCCCAACGCCGTAAGCTAGCAACTATGGCGGGGAGTTCTGTTCGTCGCAGCTCTCATCGCGAATGCGGAAGGAGACCTCGAGCTCGTGCCTGGCCGGACCGCCTTGGAGTATCCGGAGCACTTCCCGTTGAAGACTATGCTTAACCACCGTGCGGGCCTTTCTCTAGACGGACTACCCGGCCGAACGGAATTGCTCGCTGCTTGCAAAGCTGGAAAGATTACGGCCGACATGGAGGACGCGGCCTTGCGCAAACGCTTCACCTTCCTACGTGATCAAGCCATCAAACAAGCCAGAAAGTCTCAGCTGACCATCACCGCAATCATGCTGTCGTATCCAAACTACATCTGCGACAAAAATGTTGACTTCGACAAATACAGGTCCCTCTTCTACCTGAATCTCGTCTTCCCCCTTGTGGACCGAGTATAGGGGCGAGAATGGCAGGGTTGGTTTCGGCACAATTAGCGAGGGGCAAGCCACAGCTCTGTACATCTGTGAGTCATTCCACGAAATTCAAAGCTCCCTGAACCAAGAGGACCTGGCAGCAGTCTATCAAGACCTTGATCAGACCTCCGGTCTCACAATAGCCGTCGCAGATAACGGGAGTAGCACCCTGGTAGGCCCAATACTTCTAGTTTCGAGGTTTACGATTTCCCTGTTCTGACGCTTCGCAGAACTTCCAGGTCCAGACCATGTTCTACGAACTCGCAGATCGGTTCAGGACTTCGCAGTCGGATTGAATACCTGAAGGCTCCGAAGGCGCGGCGGGCGGCAGCCAGATATCGAATGATGCGGTCAAGTGGATCATCACCCAGGAACTCAGGGGACGGTGGACTCCAGACGAGATGGTCAGCTTCGTCACGCAGTTAGAGAAGGCCAAGAACAGGCTTAATCCTGATAGAAGGCCTGGCGGCCGGCCGCTGAAGCTCGTTGCTGGGGACTGCCGCTCGCAGGCCATACTGACGCAAGAGCACCTCAAACGCGTCTACACCGCCGCATACGGAAAGACTCTCGAGATGTTCCGGGAGATGGTATCCAGAGTTTCCGAGCACTGCCGTGACTTGTCGTCATCTTCTGTGGCGGCAGCTATCAGAGCCCCCGGCCGTCACGGGTGGTTCGCGAGTACATGGACGACATGGAGGCCAGGGCATTGCAGAGCGAGCCTCCCACAAGGATCCGGCACGCTTTTCTCACAGACTATGACAACTACTGGCCATCAGCAGTATCTTCTGGCGCGGCCTTGTCTGCGATGCGCCTGCCGTCCCCAGATCAGATCCTAGCAGACGGGTCAGCCATAGGTATACAACCAGTCGTGAAGGATATAAAGACCAAGTGTTGGGAAGCTTATTGCCTGGCTGCGGTGCTCCTCATTGAAGGAACTCATAAGTTCAGTACTGTGCTCGAGGTCCACGACCCAAGCACTATCAATTTCCGCATGATATGTGATCCAGACTACACTAAAAGGGCATGGAAGGCGTCGTCGAAGCGACGAAAGCAACATAGGCCTCGCCAGATTGGGGTACGTTGGCCGCAGGGGCCACGGGGAAGAAAGGATGGGTTGGCAAAGCCTGTCGACCCACAGACGATGGCCGTGCTTGGCTAGGGTCATCTACGCTAAACTCAGAAAGCTCTATGTTATCACGTCAGGAGATATTTTCGGTTGCAATGAGCTAGTCAAGCGTCTACAAGCAAAGCTGCACACAATAAGTAGTGTTGGATGCAGGGAAAGCAGGTGTGCCTCTTTGGGCTCAAGTCTTGCCTCATATCCCTAGCCAGCCGGGGGTGAGAGCCCTGTTCGTCTCGTGGGAAATTTATCCAGTTCTGTGTTTGCGAAAGCTAGTTTAACCCTTTGGGTGAAATTAATCACTTTTCCGCCCGGATAAACCAACCAATGTCTGGATCCAGCTCAATTCCCTGTTCAGCCAAGTCATAAACGGCCTCCTCTGCGTTCTGGCGAGCACGTACGACAGAATGAAGATCGCAAGAGTTATATAAGTCATCTGTTTCTTTGCTACTCATCTGAAGCAGTCCACGCGAGCCTAGGACCGTGACGGTCTTCGCATGCAGCTGGATCAACAAGGTTGCATAGACAACCAAGAGGGCAGCACGATCTTGATGAAGGCTGGGATGGTTTGTACACATCAATTCGTCCTTGATTGATCGATCGACCAAACCGAGCACATGATTGATGGTAGAGCAACGGTCGAGTAATGCATTCTGCATCAATGATTCCGGCGGTACTGGTACCATGCGCCAAGGTAGACTCCGCAAATATTCCCGAGTCATCTCAATTACGAATTGGCCGAGTTCGGTGGAATATTTCCTTACACGGCGAATGACCTGGTTTCGTCGCCCTACGGGCGGGCGGTGCGTCCGTAATACGGCGACGACTTGGGCGGGCTCGAGGTCCAACGAGAGCGGAACGGTTCGCGAAGGCTGCGAAAGCACAGATAGTATCTATACAGGACAAGAGGATTAGAGGCCAGGGCAAAGAACGACTGACGGGTGGTATTAATTCGGTGAGTTACCTCGAGGACTTCGAACTGAGTCGGACAAACCGTATCATCTTGTCCTTCAAATTCATCCATGGAAGGCTCTGACTCTTAGCGTCTGGGTCGAAATCGAGCACATTAATAAGCGGCCTGTATATAACCTTTGGCGTCTGGTCATTTGATGTCTTTGACACGATCTCAAGTCTTGTCAAGTCCGGGTTGTATGGAAGATGGTGGTCGTAAAGTACAGATATGTCGTCAACAAGGGTGTTCTGCAATCCAAGTATGTCTTCCCTCGACAAAGGCGGCAAGGTTGCGTCTCCGAGGAGACGCCAAATGCGATAGTTGGGGTATTCGAGCTGAAGTTGACTACAAGTAATTTCCGTGCTCTGCCGAGAGCGTACATGCAATATCCTGTTCGCGAAACGCGCGATGCTTTGAAGCGTCGGGGTCATTGTGAGTACGAAACCATGCCGGTCAGCTTGTAATAGGTGTGCCCTGATTTTGGGCGCCTTGTCTTTTTGGCGCTTCCTGTATTGGCCTCCTGGGTTTCGCTTTAGTTTGCTAACTCGGTGCTGGGCTACAGACTGTTGTTTGCGATTGATGGGCAGGTTCGTCAAGGCCGCTCGCGCCAACGCCGGTCGCGAGCCACTTGTGTCATCGGAAGTTGAGAGTGTTTCTGGCAGAAACATAATACTTAATAATTGGGGGCGCAAGTATAACTTTTTGGCAAGAACTGCATGATAGTTTATTAGTACTTTTCCGGGCTTCAGGTGGTGGACTTGTCTTCCTATGACAAGTCCGATCGACTGGAAGCGGC